TTTGCGGCGAACCATTTCACAACATTTCATTTAACATTACTGTCATTATTTATTAATTATCTTACCGATGATAATAAAAATACGATTAAATTGGTGTTTAAGAACCATAATAAAATAAATATTTTTATGATACACTAATCTTTAAATCTAAAATCTTGAAGCCTTGTTGCTGTTGCTAAGCATATTTCTTCCACTGTGTAGGGACCATCTGAGAAAGTAAACTTTTATGTACAAAGATACAAAATTATTAAAAAATATCTAAATGATTTCTTAATTGTTTACAATTTTATTAAGTTCACGATGCTGAAGCTCCCCATATGGACTTTACAGACAGCTAAATTTGCATCCTGTAAGTAGAAACATTGTTTCTTATAAACTCATTCTTACCAATATTGAACCAAGAAGTAGTTGGGATCCCGTTTTCAAGTCTAGCGGCTGTAATTGCTTCTCTGATCGCAAAAGGTATTACGATCGCCATACATACGGAAGGTTCTCCAGTCACTGTAAAGAAACAAAAATTATTCATAGTCTACTCTGGTCGGAAAATTCGCCAATATGAGTTGGCAAACGGTGACCTTGATATCCTTAAAACGTATGTGATTAACAAGGTTCACAGAATCCATGCTAATAGTATACGAGAATACCACGGTCTGCAAATAGCTTGGGCGTCCCTCACGGTTCATTTCTAGGAACTTTTATGTTTTTTTGTTTACATTATTGATACACCTTGTGTAAATATAATTAACACACAATATTAGAGTGGTTACACATGGCGACTTTAGACATTTGCTATTTATGTTATTTGCATCGATACAAATGCACGACTGCATCGATACAAACGCGCGATTGCACCGATGCAATCGCCTATAAATGTCTACGCCTAAATGTCGCGATGCAGCCGCGCTTGCATCGCGTTTGCATCACTGCTTAAAATCGCGCATGTATATAAAGGTAGACGATTTAGCGATTGTGTCGCTACTGCATCGCGTTTGCATTGCCGCTCTTTTTTCTACAGCATCTTTGACATCTCCCTGCATCGCCTCCCTGAAATCAGCTGACATAATCCTGAGAGTATAGTCTAAGCCCCAAATGGTCTCTGAAAGATACGTTTATGGAAATGTACATACATTTTATTTACAATGTAAATATTGTTAAGAAGACTTTATATTCTTCGAATAAATAATAGCAATTGTAATTAAGTTTAATGATGTCAGTAGGTACGTTTCACAAAAATGATATTCAATTATTTTTTGTGAAATTACTCCACTAGTTTATAATAATTATTCATACAAACGTACTTACAAAAATCACACACACTTAGAAAAAATCCTTCGATGCGGCTGGATTCGAACCAAAGTCTTCCAGCATACCGCCAGACGCTATACCTACTAATTCACGGAACGAACCAGCGAACCTTACGAATTTTGCTTGTTGAAGATTTGTATTGGTTTTTAAAGAATTTTTTGCCGTAAATTGCAATTGTCATAACATTTGTTCTTAAGTAATTTGGTCTATCATGAAACTTTTGCCGTCGCCCAAAATACAACGTATTAAAAATTTATTTATACCAACTCACTTTTAGATCCGAAGTAAACGTCAGTGCTGTAAGACTTTTTCCTAAAGTACACTTTAAAGTTCTGTGGAATATCTCTAGCTAAGGGCACATGATAATTCCAAGTTCGATTTGTGAGCAGTTCGCCAGTAAGGTCGTACACCAGATGCTCTGAAGTCCAGTAGCCAAGAGCCATCGTGAAGGCGCCTTCTATCTATACAATGGAATTTGCACCTTTGTTATAAAATTTGCACTCATTATCATTATGGCTATTCGCAAGCAGATGTATACTACAAAGTACCGTAAAGGTTATGATTTTAACTTTTATCCTAAGAATTTGTAAAGATAAAAAATTGTAAAGAAAGTAAATGACAAAATAAAATCAAACAACTAACTTGACCAATATCAATTTCGGGGCTGACACTCTGTCCAACATCTTGCAGTAGATCAACTCGTAAAATTTCGTGCTCTCCCGTCAGAACATCAATTTCTACTTCTGCCAAAGTCACCCCATACACATTATAATCGTTGAGGTAATTATTTCCTACAAATCCATGGGTTTGTAGGTCTACAGACGCTTCAAAGGCTTTCTTTATTAATTCCTCCCAGGTAGGATTTATCATTTGCGCCCTTATAGGTGCCAATCGTTTAAGAAGTTCTTCACAACATTGCCTAATATTGACAAGAATTACCTGCGATGTAATACTTGCAGCTGTGCAGAAACTATTCGGCGATATAGTAGTATCATTGGGTTTAATCTGTACCTTTTCCACAGGAATGTTCAGAAGATAAGCACAGAGTTGCACTGCTTTAGTATTGATACCCTGTCCCATTTCTATACCACCGTGAGTAAGTGATACTGTACCATCGCCATGGTAAACAGACAAATTCGCGTCTAAATAAGAAGCCGCAGAACTTTTCCATCTCATACACGAAAATCTGAGTCCTCGTTTCTTCCATCTATTTTGGCTGTTAAAAGATTGAACGTCTTGTTTCCTACTGTTATAATCTGCTTTCTCAACTAAAGTTGATGTCATTTCCTTCAAATCGTTATGGTTTGCGTAATCCAGATTTGATAATCGAACTTGCAAAGGGTCAAGAGATAGCTCGTAAGATATTCGTTCCAAAATGGTTTCTGCCATTGCAATGTTTTCTAATGTCGCTAAAAAGAAAAATGAAAAGTATTTAATAAAATAAAAGTAATTGACCTATATAGTTCCACTGCTGAGGGCAGACCTCCTCTCACAATGAAAAGGGCTTAGGCTGTAGTTCCACTGGAGGCCCAATTTGGATTGGGAACTTCCAGATACATCATTCAATTAATTTGCAGATGTGTCCAGGTTTCCTGACGATTTTTTCCTTCACTGTAAAGCTAATGGATCGCACATAAGCTCCGACTTATTTAATCGGACTTTAAAAATTGTGTTTTGGAGAATTCCATAATATTGAAACATGAAAAAGAAAAATCTTACAAGGAGATCGGCACCAAGAATTTTTAGCAGTGTCTGTAATTCCATTAAAACACTTGTAGTTCCACCTTTTACTGTCATAGCAATTATTATAAACTACTAAACCTAAACTTGCTATAGGTTCATTGATTTTATATCCATTATCTTCGTACAAGTTCACATTTAGGTACTGGATAACCCCTGTGTTGTCCACACCTGCCTGAAAATTACAGCAAATTTTTTCTCTCAAATATTTTTTTGTTTAAACAGTCTTATGGTTGTTGACCTTTCTCGTTTCCTTTTTTTAACCGACGAACTTTTTTGCCTAGGTGGCAAATTAGGGGACGAACCGATTCCGTCAAATGATTTCATAAAACTTGGCACATAGATGTAATTCCAATGATAATAAAATGTTATGGTCACCTAGACCTGATCTGATGATGGAAATGGCAGACAGATGAGAGGAACTCCTCAACAGTGTACAGCAGCTAACTTGTGCTAGGGCTCATATGATTGTACTGACGAGGGTATATGCATTTTAGCTATCACAGAGGAAACCGCGGTAATAAACACATCTAAAGCGGATACGTAAACTTTTGACGTCGGTTTTCTGTTTATAAAAAACATTATAGTGAAATTCAGTATTAGCCTTATATAAAATATCTACATTTAATTACCTCATAATCAAAAGAACAAGGGAATCGTTTGCCCATTGCTCTCATATTGGTTGACAAAGATTGTATGAAGCGACAGGGTTTGTTTAGTTTGAATGCAACGAGGCTACACGCTACAGCTGTCTGTGATACACGAGTTACTTTGAAACCATATCCTCCTCCAAGTCGACGGACCTTCACATCGATTCTGAAAAATAAATTAAAAATGTCTATTGACACTATAAATATTTGCTATCATGATTGCGGTAATTTCGGCGATAGGATTTTCTTTTAAAATCATTAAATGGTCGTCGCAAGTGACCGATATCACGTTTGTATTAATTTATAATCTGTCCTTTGTGATTTTATAAGTATGTCACCATTTATACTAATGATAATAATATATAAATAAAACTAGAAAACAACAAAGTTACATACACCTGTTCAACTTACCGATTTTGTTTTATGTTTAAAACTCTAGATACCATCTCATGCACTATGTCTAACCACTGCGTCGCCGCATTCACTTCTAATCCTTCTTCAGTTGGTTTGGTAACACACACCAAGGTCTCCATTGTAAAAGGATATTGTCCATATATCGTGTTCTCTCCTTTTATAATCTTCACTACTTCTCTACCTGCTTCAGTTGCAGGCATGGTAGCGAGTAAAAATACTCTTCTTGGATCTCTTTTTGCTATTTTTATGTCAACAATAGGTTTCCTTACATCGCTGTAAATGATTTTAATCAATTCAGCTGCCCTGTCAGCAATTTTTCTAGTTTTTGCTACAATAATAGCAATGGGCTGGTGATAATACTCGATTACACCATCGCTTAAAAGTGGTTCGAATACAATAGAAACTGGGGTATTATTTGGAGTGAATGAGTTTTCTCCTGGTATATCTTTCGCTGTATAAAAAGCTATTACTCCATTTTCAGCCTGAAAAGGAAGAAGTTTCTTAATGTAGTGACACTCAC